GCTCTGTAGCTAAGTCATGGTCATTAGGGTAAACAAGAGAGAAAGATAACACGTCATAAGGAGCAAAGGAAGACATAGTAGTAGGGGCGAATGCAGGATACAGGAAGTCAGAGTTGATCGTATTTGCGGAGTCCACTAAAGAGTAATCCCCCCAGAACAGAACCCAAGATGAGAATGAGAAGAGGACAACCATCATTTTTTGCGACAGTACAAACTGGCAAGAGGAAAGAGTCTTTAAAAAAATACTAGATCAAAAGCAACTGGGGGAGGTGAGTTACAGTAGCAAGGGGAGAAATGAACTCATCAGGTCCCTGAAAAAAGCTCAAATTTAAAAGCAACCTTTAAGGAGCACATAGACGACGAAATACTAGGTATAGGCCATCCCAGCCACGCCAGACCAGTCGTATATATCGACTTCCAGAATCATAAGAAACAACGATCTAGGAACAGCACAAGGGGAAGCGGAAAAACAACAAGTAAGATAGACCCTTCCGATGCTCACTTAGGCTAAGGAGGCCTCCCAAAGTAGGACCATCAAGACTCCTAAGTATCGAAAGACTGAGATCGCTGCTACAAGCTTAAGTAGAGTAGATAGAGGAGAAAACCCTTTCCATCTCAAAGATAAAAAATCCCCACTGGGGCCTGAGTACGGAACCCAAAGCTATAGAAGAGGAAGGGAACAAAGGATAACCATAAAAGCGACATACGGCCCGATCTAAAGTTCGTCAGGTCAAATAATTTAGGACAAGAGACTCCTCAAGAGGAGATAAAGAGGAAGATAAGGCCAAACCCAAACCAGATAAGGATGGAGGAGGGCGACTAGTCAAGAGAAGTGTACGTGGAGCTCGTATCTTGAATTACAGGAAAACTGCACACAGTGTAATAATAAGATATCTGAGGAGTAGCTAAAAACAGAAGATACCGAAGCACGGCAGAGATAGGGGGACGAAGAAACCCTGAGGAATAGACTAATGGATAAAGAGGAGAATATGAAGCAACGAGAGTAAGGACAAATAATGAGCTCAGAATCAAAGATGAAACAACGGAACAGGAACACGGCGGAGCCACTGCGGGAGGGTTATTTCCTCAGCAGAAGTGACAAATCCAGAACATCCCCAGGGACAAAATAACAGGGTAGAATAAGTTAGGAACGCCCAATTCATGAAGCCAACTCAATAACAGGGGAGTAGACAGAACACAGGAGAATAAGGAGCTTCTCCTGGAGGAGACAGTTAACCGAAAATAACCCAAGGACCAAATTCTGATCTGAATCCAAAAAGGCATGCCCCACCCCGAAGGCGCCAGGAAATCTCTCGCATTATTAATGCTCAGAAACAGACCGTAACGGCACCTTGGCCACAACAGGGTATCCCCAGAACACCCGCAGTTGATTAAAATCTCCGTCCCAAGGGTGATTACTATTGAGGGGCGACAGGAAAGGATCCCGAAACACCAAACGGAGACCGAGATCGAAACCCTAGGAGGAATTGAATGGAACAACAGGTGAGAAGCTCGGGGACAGTTCTCCAAACTTATCTCTCCCTCATAAGAAGCGGAATAATCAGATAAACCTCGAGGGACACAGAGGAAAAAGCCCCCAAAATCAAGGAAAATCCACAAGGCCCGAATTGAGATAAAAAGTATCCAATATCAAATAAAGAAGGGAGTAGAGTGAAGGTTGAGATCTCGTTCTCTACTGTGAAATAGTAGGAACCAATAAGGGGGCTCCATTCTAGACAGCGTTAGTACATAAATAGGAAGTGGGGAGTTAAGTTCAGCCGAAATTATAAGGAGTTAAAGGAAGTATTAGAAGAGGCACTCCTAGAAAAACCTCAACAGACTCAAATGACCGAAGCAAACACCTAGCAGCCCAGTAAAGATTGAGAATACAGGGGCAAATTAGGCTAAGATAAATACCCTTAAGGAGCATGCTTATAGACCCCTCCAGACTCCCAGGCAGCGGCAAGGAGAGTTTTCTGGCATAATAATAGAACTGAGAAGGTGTAAATAGGGCAGGAGAACACAGGATGCCCCGCATGAGATTCCTGCAAGTCGCCCAAGTTCTACTCAGAGAGAACGGCAACGACACCAGGCGCCAAACAAAGGAGAGGGTTAGGACACTAGGAGCTCTACAGCCTGACTTCCGTAGGGGACACATGAGAAGGACACAGTAGATCCTGAAATTAGAGGCCAGGACTCTGATGCCCAAAATTCCATCCCAGGTTATGCAAAAAATCATCAAACTCTGACAGTAGGAGTCCCGGCGTAAAAATTAGCACTAATCTCAAGAGCCTCCCTCCCAAAAGGTGGGCAGAGGCTCTAATAGATGTGACCAGCCCCCCGAGGAGTACGCTAACTCCTGATTCTGGTATGGATGAGCTCCTGATGCCCCCCAGTGATAGGGCATGGTTCTGTTCCTAGTGGAGGAAGAGTAGAACCGGATCCGCCAAGTACGCTAGAACCCCCTCTTCACAACTGAGGATACAGCTCTAAGAATCTGTAGTATGTTTGCGAGAAGAGGAGAAAACGCAACAGCCACCAACAGCTAGACAAGGGCATAACAGAAAGATGATCAGTTTTAAGGAAAATGTCAGGGACAAATTCTCCGGGGCGTTACGGAGCGTCAAGTCCAAGGAAAATAAGCGGAAAACTGTGAAGGGAAAGAGGAGAATTTATCCTGAACACCAAGGAATGGGAAGGAAGAATAACTAAAGTACAGAGACGAATAGCAAAAGCTGTCTTAGTCTAGGAAGGAAGAATCTTCACCTGAAGCAGCAGAGTCTGTGAGATCTAGGTTGATCTAGACAGGAATTAGTACAGCAGGGAGACGGGGCCTAGGGACTCACTTATTTAAGAATCGGGAAACACATCTAGAGTAACTCAAGAGTTGGGGATTATGGAAAATACCTCCAAAAGGGGTACCCAGGAAAGGAAAAAAAGCTGGAGACAGTAGCATCAAGCCAATCCAAGAAAGCAAGGGACAAGTCGAAGGGAGTAAGAACAGGCGACTGTCCAATATATTCCAATAACTAATGGGATCCTTCCCACGAGTCTTCTAGCAGACCAATCTACAAGCATAATCTCCGAGTAATCCAGGAACTCACCACCAAATAGGAAATTGTCAAGTCCAAAATTGAAAACAGATGCTAGGAATTCTCTAGAATCTCGTGGGACTCATAAAAACGTAAAGGAAAAATGTCCTTACCATACGGGTGCGTTAAAGGATGGACGCACCAGCGAACCAGAACAAAATATCAGCTCAGATCCAGGGAGTAAATATAGGAGCTGACAAGAGAAATTCCCCGAAGGTTTAGCACCCCATCCAGAATCCAGGAGAGCAACAACTTTCGCCTATAAAATTAAAGACTGAAAGGATTCCCGAGGGGCGAAACCAGAGTTTCAGAGCAAACAGGTGATGTGGAAGAGGAGCTTTTTTACCAGCAGTAACGAGGCCGTAGGAGATGAAACTAGGAGGTAGAGAAGTCTTAATTCCCCGGACAACGGAAGTGAAACCAGGACTCTTGGACGGGGAACAGGAGCTTAAGGCTTTAGTTCTCGGCAAACCGAGAAATGACACCTACGAGTAAAATAAATCTTGAGAAGCTAGAATAAGGGGGAAGACCCAGGTGAAAATTTCTCGTTCCTCTGATGAAGTAACGTTTAGGGACCTTTCAAGATCACCAGAGAAAGTGACGAAGGCATTTCTACGTGGAATTTCAAGCGTTAGAAAGGCGAAAGTCCATATAATTTTCAGACAAGGCGGTCTCATACAGCAGGAAAATTCCCCCCCGACGATTGGGGGGAGGGCAGGACCTAAAATAGAGCGGGTTCATATCAAGTGTTTGATTGCCGTTTCCGAACGACAGATGGCCGAAACGCGAGAGGAATAGAAGACTGCAAGTACGACGAAGATGCCAGAGGCGATATTGTACCTTAACCGTAAAAAGAATTCTAAGAGGAAGCAGTTTTCAGAGGAACATCTAGGCCCATAAACTATGGGATTCACGTAATCTCCGAGGGGGGGATAAGAAGAATAATAATAGCATCCACAACCGACCACTCCTCAAAGGGACAATGGCAGGGATGAGATATGTTCCTCAGCGTGCTTCGTAATTTCCCCGACCAAAGTAAGGGAAGAAGTCTGGATCCATAAAATAAGTCAGGTGACTTTGAGAAGTTAACTTCCGCTCTATTCTAAGCTCCAGGGAACCCTCTGAAGCAAATCAGGAAGCAAGAAAGATAAACGGAAAAAGGGGATAGGACTGAGGAGAAGAAATCCTAGCCGCTTACCCCAGGACCTCCCCGGAGGGAGGCAATCAGGAATTATGCAGGAAGATGAGGATGAAGGGATAGAACTATCAGGGATTTTATGATCGAGGAGTCATGAGGTCCAGAGGGGGAGATGGGAGGACTTGTCAAAGTCAGGAGGAAAACTTACTGACTGGAAGGCAAGACCAGGGGGGAAATTTGAGGGAGGGTAAAGAGGAGGAGTTTTTTATTGTTTAAAGCAGTGAGCCCAATCCACAAGAAGGAAACAATAACAAATACTAGCAGAGGAATCAGATTCCACCAGGCAACCCCCAGAGACCCCCGTTCGGAACAAGTTACTCAGCCACGATGAGATCCGAGAACCTTCTTGTTAAGAGAACTGAGTTGAATCTATTCTCGAAGGGAGACAAGGGCTTAAGATTCTGAATCGAATCAAGAGGGGCAACCCTAACACAAGGGAAGGAAGTGGACAAACCAGGGGGATAGGAAGGAGGGGACGCTTACAAGCTAGGAAAAAGTGTTAAACAAGAACAGGGAACATAACGAAGGCTTAACAGAGGGCCAAACATCAGCACGTCCAATTTCATGAGGATTAGCCCAAGGCAAGTCTCAGGAGGGCATATTATTTTACAGGTTGCGAAACCAGCTGAGGCAAAATATCTGGCCAAAACAGCAGAGTCTGATAAAATCACCGAGGTTAGCGGCGCAGTCAGCTCTGAGAGTACAGCAAAATGGCTGGTACAACTACGAACAAAATAGAGGTCGGATTCAGGAACTATCTCTTATCTTTGATTGGGTCGGATTCAGGAGCTCTATGTTCTAGCAAGGGCCAAGAGTATGATGATCCCGGTGGAAGATTGCGATTCTTACATTGTAAGGAGACAAGCAAGATTGAGATGTGGGAGAAGATGAAGGACAAGGCAACTGCGAGCAATAATTTAATGGGTTTGTGGAAATATACAGTGAGCAGTTGTATGAAAATCGAGGCCTGGTGGGATAATCTGAAGAATGGAGGACATGAGGGAGGATTCTATAATCCGGGCACTTGTAGTGTCGGTCATATGGCCGTCTCGGGAGGGCGATTGAACTATGGGCAGAACTGTGTGATAAACAAGAACCACTTAACCTGGGACAGTAGTGGGAATAAGCGGGAGTTTTATACCAATAGACAGGAGGATCGTAGTCTTAGTATCTGTAGGGATATCATTCTGCAAATGATGTATTATTTTGAGATAGTGAATACTGATTCATCAACACGGAGCAAGCTAAGTAACCCAAATCCCTGCCAGGATTTGTATGAGAGTTTAGTGAGGTGGGGAGGGACCCAGGTGGCAGAGGCAATAATGACAGACTGGTTTATAGGTGACAGCTCTGGTACCCCGGGGGGTATTTCGCAATCCTTGAAGGGGATTGATTTATATGAGGTCATGACGGAGACCGTGTATGGTGACGGCAGGGGAGATAAGAGTATAAGGTGTAGGTTGGCTGAAGGCCTTGAGTCTTCAGGAACCCAAGCGTCGCCTAAGTACAAGACTGAATATGACAAGGGGATGGAATTATCAGAATGTAGGGAAAGCTCGAACAAGTGTAGTGGCCTTGAGGAGATTCTACAACTAGGCCAGAGCCCAGATGAAGAAATATCCGGCGACATCACCTCAACGGCCAGAATCGCCCCAGAGAACGGCACGGGCGGCGACGGTACCGGGGTTTCACTCTCCGCCTCTGCGCCTTCCTATTCCGGGAGCAGTTTCCTCAGCTCCGGAGACGAGGACTCCAATATAAAAAGGGCGCCGAAAACCCCTCCCAGCGTCTCAGGAGGCTCTGCTAGTATAGGATGGGCGGTTGGTGCCAGTGTTGGTATCTTATTGGGTTTAGTGAGCAGTGCTTATGGATATTATAGGGTATTTTATATGAGAAGTCGTAGGAGAAATCTGATGCGTGCTCCCAGGCTTCACGGGGCGAGAATTGCTTATGCATAGGATTAATTAGAAGGAGTCTAGATTCGGAGCCCGTCCTTCATGCAGGGGTACTCCGGGGTCTGCGTTTGAGCTTTTAAGGTTGTGATCTGGTGCTTAGGTTTAGTGTCTAGGTTCTAAGGTTTAGGATCTAGGGTTTAGATTCCAGGGTTCAGGGTTTAGGATTCAGGGCTTATGGTTCATGTTTTAGGGGTTCAGGTTTAGAGTTTGTGTTTATGCTTCACGCTTAGGGTTCAGAGCTTAGGGTTCATGTTTTAGGGTTTAACCTTTACCATTTTCCTTTCAGGGTTGAGGCTTCAGGTTTAGGCCTCAGCGTTTGAGCTGGAGGGGTGAGGGTCAACTTATTAGCGTTTACTTTTTGTGCTTTATGTTTAGGCATTCGCCTTTTGGGTTCAGGTTCCCTGCACAAGGTCTAATTTTTAGTATTCAGGGGTCTAACCTTGGCGGTCTAGGTTGTATCCCTCAGATTTCTTCTGTTTTTTTTTATGCTTCAGACACTCGGGTATAGCTTGATTCTTCAGATGGACTGTTCATATGTATAGTCTATTCCAACTCCCCCCTCTTACTGTTTCCCGCTTAGAGTTCCATCTTTACGGTTTCATTCTTCAAGCTTCTTCGTTCAGTCTCCATTAGTCTGTCTTATTCATTTATCGTCATTCCCTTAAATTTTATCGTTTACTGTTCAAGCTTCAGTCTTGTTTTTTTAAGCTCCCGATTTCTGATTTTCTTCTATGATCCTACGCTATTAGCTTTATCTGGCAAGGCGTAAACTTCATGGTTCATGGTGTCTCATCTTTGATTTATGGTTCATGGTTGATGATCCAAGGTTCCAGTACTATGCTCCTCTGTGGCTCCTAACCACTCACCCCTCAGAGGATAAGCTCTATCCGGATGGGCTATGTTGTCACTATTTCTGATTTCGCCTTATTCCTGGTTGCCCCTGTCTTATAGCTCCTGTTTCCTCTTAAGCTTTGTCTTTAGGGCTTCGATCCGTCTTACTACATCTTACGCCTCCTTCCCCTTTTTACCCCCTTCTCCCCTTTGGTAGCATCCCGTAATGTTGAAGTCTCACATCCTATTGTTTACTGTTATTGAGTACATCTTCCTGTATATGGTTCACGTGTAGTGCTGCTCTCTTCTCCATGTATTGAGATGACTCACGCTTGACCGCGTAAGCTCATGTGTCAGTCTGTTTTTATGCATGGCATCGCGTCCCCAACTCATCGTTGTAGCCTATGGTGCAATGCTGTATGGTGCACTCTCTACTGTGTAATGTCTAAGGTTAATGTTTTATCCTCTATTCTTATGGTTTGAGTCCTGATTTTACGGCTGATGCTTTATTTCCTATGTGTAGGCCTCAATGTTTAAGTCCCTTGTCATGGTCCTGTTTTCACTGTTTACTCCTTATCTGTATTTTCGAATAAGTAATTGTCGGCGCCCCGGCTTTAGGCCTTAGGCTTCATCTGTTTTGTAACCATCCTCGCGGTTTTACTATGTAGGGTTTATTGTTTGGGCTGTATGTTTTGGGATTCAGGATTCATGTTGTAGGTTTCAGCCTATATGGTGTACTTGTGATGCTTCTGTCTTCTGGTGTATTGCAACCCTCTATCGTCCATCCCTACGCTTAATTCTTCATGGCTACGGCGTCATTTTTGTCCTTCTCGGTTATCTTCTTTTTATTAGCGCTTAGGATCCTGTTGTGTATTTCGGCTTTTCCCGTTTTAGATTTCATGATCGCCCCTTTATCCTTATGGTATACCGCCGACTAGATACCTTTAGGATTTATCTGTTCCTGATGAATTATATGGTTTCCCTGGCACGCCCCAGGTGTACCATGCAGAGTCTATGAGTACTGTTTTCTGCTCAGGTATATGTGCTATGGTTCACGCTTTAAGGTGGTGTGTTGCATTTTATCCTATCATTCCTCAGTGTATCTTCCTGAAGGCTGTTTCCTTATGCACCATGTGTGCTTTTTACAGCTGTTAATCTGTGGCGTCATGGTCAACTCCTTGTTCTTTAGTTTTTATGGTTTCTATTTCTGCTCTATCACTTAGTCTTGAACGTTGTGTCCGTATGGTGTTTGATCTATTGTGTAGGCCATATCGCTATGGGGTTATCCTCCCTGTTTTTCGTTCTGTCATCACCCTTTAAAGTGTATTCTTTACGGTTCACCATTTAATGCTGTCTGCTGTGGTCTTATATTCTGAACTCTGCGCTGGCCTTCATGGCCATCATCAGCGACTGCGTGTGTCCAAGTGCTGTCCTTCCCCCTTTGAGTTACCTTATGATGTTCCTGTCTCTGTGGTAATCGTGTGCCTACTGGCTCTTTTTAAGGTTTTTCTTCTTATTTTTTCTTTATGGTCTCTTCTTATGTGTTTGGGAAGATAGAATAAGACATATATCTGTAGATTCTTTATTATTCTGCCCATATTCAATATATCCTAAGTGTCTTAATATAAAAATACGAAACAGTCAATGTTCAGACTCTCTCCGTTTCTTGTATTGAGATATATGCAGAGGGACAAGCGTCTTACTGATCTAGTGCTATTTACTTGGCTGTTTTATCCTTATCCTTTTCCCATAGGATATATCTGTTAAATCGGCGAGTTATACATGCGGCGATGACTCGCCAGATTATACATCACATATTCATCTATATTAATGTTAATTTATACTGTTGTAAGATCTTTTTTCGTTGAGTTGTCTCTCATATTCAAATGTGTATCCTCCTCTTCTTCTATGTCACTGGTGAATCTCTCTTAATAATATGGATATTATGGGAGGGGTACACAACACGTTTATTGCTTCACGACTCTTTGAAGTTTTTTATTGAAATGTGGCAACACATGTTGAAGGACTTGTATTTATCACTTGATTTCTTGCTTCTACAAGGAATTCTTACAATGGATTTCCGAGTACAGGCGGCCATAGGAGGGTATTGCATAACTGTTGGATCCACTCTTAGAGGAGATATGCTGTCGGTTATGAATTCCACTGGTGTTGTGGAAGCCTCCTGTGCTCATAGAAAATATATGTATATATGACGTCCAATAAATTAACCTTTGGATTTAATTGAGGATAATAAGAGTTGCAAGGACAGATATCGTGCTTATTACTGCTAGTCAGATACAAGCGTGATATATTCATACTATGACTGTTGGTATTGTATGTTCTATCATGCAAAACGGAGTTCATCATTTTTATATCAGCACTGTGAAATACGAAGGAAGGAATGGTAATAAATAGTATAGACCTCTTTACTGTTGTTCTAGAGACAGAGCTATGAAGCCTTGTCATAAAAGGAAAAGATTAATACTGTGGTTCTAATTTATTTGTTTCTTCATGTACACAGATCTAAATAGCGCTCATTAGTTGGTTGTATTCCCATAGTTCAAACGAAATTGAGAGATTTTTTACTTATACTTACAATATATACCGATTATAATGTCATTACGTACAATCAACCGTTTATATTGGAATTGTTAGATTACGGTTCTGTATTAATGTCGTGTGCAGTCTGAATAAACATGCTTTTTCCATAAAATTATATCTTTGACTATGATATATCATACTGTATACCCGCATTATGGAGACATTATTCAGCGGATTCTTCATGTGTTAGATCCTAAAGCTATCAGTAACCTATTGCTACTACATCGAACAAGAAAGCAGATAATTAGCCGCGAGATGGATGTTAGCATGTCTATTATTAACTTGCAAGAAAATGTCATCCCAATCTCTGATAAGGATATTTTAAATGTTTTTTATTCGTTGTCAATGTGCGATCTTCACTTTGTATATATATTTGTATGCGGATTGAGAGAGTCTTTTATGAAAATTAGAAAGAAATTTAGAAGAAGAATGCAGCCCCCCTAAGGAAAGAAATGGGCGCTTCTACTGTTCAGATAACAATATAAGAGAAAATCAGTGGGTTGAAAGAATCTTCTTGTGTATTTTCGCTTTACTAAAATGAACTCCTCACTATAATGATAGTATATGAGAGGACATAGCCCCATTTTGTATAATCTCTCCAGTACCTGTTAATTATTTTGTCTATAAACTATTATCCGTAAAATTATATATGGGCAACTGCTGCTTAGGTATGACGAATAGTGGCATACGGCTTAAATGTGATTATTAGTAATTATCAAGGATATCATAGTCCTCTATTGATATATTTTATTTTAGCACGTTAAACTAATTATTAAGGCAAGTACCTATATTTATTTATGAAAGATGTTTATGAATTAGTTCAATCATGCAATGCTGTACTGAGATTTTATTATGCATAAGAAGAGTCTTCATTCTTTCCACTAAATATCTTCTAGAGAAGTATGAGGCTTCTTATCTAAACAAGAAACTGACAAAGTCAATATGCATACTGTACGGAGTCTCTGCTATTTCGTAATGTGAGGAAGGATGCTCAAATTAGGAGAAAAGGTTGTTGGTATATGTATAAAGTAAAGTGCGAAATTCTCGTAGTGACTCGAAGATAGGTTTTACTCTAAGAAAGGAATCATATTAAAGAGGATATTCATAATGTTGTATTATGATACAAGACATAAGCGCTGTATAAATATACATTTGATTTAGAGAAGGAATACCATAAGTATTAATGGACACCATTATGGACCTTCATGTCTGTCATTTGTAATTGTAATATGTAATAATACAATTTTAAGTTGTATGCGTCAGTACCACTGTTTCTATAGTTATATTAGAATCTCATTCTATCTTTTGTATTATGCGTATCGCAGCATGAATAAGGTTTTGGGAACATATGTGAGGATTAATGAGTGAATTAGGCATTAAGGAAGAGAAAATAAAGAATCTTTACTTTTTAATTTTGAGCGGGATATATCCTCAGATTGGCAAACCATTCGAAAGGATGTGGGAATTTCTCTCCAGCTTACGCTATAAGGAGTCTATTCAGATATGTTCTATATTAATTGGACCAGACGCGAAGACAGAGTACGCTGTTGACATGTAGCTCCTCCTGCTGA